TTTTTTTTTCATTAATTTAATAAATTTTCATTTTTTCATTAATTTTTATAATTTTTATAATTTTTTTTATTTTTCTGTGTAACAATCAACATATACCGAACCGAACCGAAAATCGTGACCACGAAACCGTGAACCAAACCGAACCGTGGATTTTGTGAACCGTTCCACCCCAATATATATATGCTTGTTTTAGCTGTAAGAAAATAAATAAATAAAATAAGTAGAAATAGAAATAATGCTTAAATACAATGTCTGTATGAAAAAAATACTATATAAAACATGACAATTTCCAAGTGAAATGTACATTTTGATGATTTTGTCATTTATTGAGATGTACTAATATACTGGCATCTTACAGGGTGGCACACTGTAATTGTTTGGTAGAGGAATGAAAAAAATAAATAAATAAAAACCACTCATCCATCTATACATGGTAAAAAGCCTAACAACCATGAGATTTTTATTATTGCCTCCTGCCTTTTTTCCCAATAAAGAGATGACTTGGCCCATAACCAGTGCAGCCAGGTCACTGTAACCTAGTGATTGAAGGCATTGGTGCCTGTTCCCTGTTAACACAGCCAGCAGAGTCTACAGCCAAATGCAAAAACGTCAACAAATGCTCCCTCCAATTTCAAAGCAGGCCCCATTGCATTTATTGCTCTCCACATTAACAGGGCATTTTCCCTTTTCTCTGCTTTACTCAGTAATTACCCTACTGCTATTTTCTTTTTAATGTTGTTTGAATCATTTTTTTTTAGGATATGAGTTTAAGTTGTAAAATATCCCCTCATAGGTGACTCAAACAGTAGGCAATCCCTAAATCTTCAGTAGACTTTTCACTAGATTTTGTTTATGATGTTAGTTAAGTTGTGCAACTAATTAGATGATAAACAACTGGTGCTTTATCTGAGACTTGCATGAACTTACATTATTTTTTTCTCTCTCTGCTGCCCTTTAGTCTACCCTTCTGTTGAACCAGGCTGGCTCCAAGCAACATACGAGGGAAAAACAGGTTTAATACCAGAAAATTATGTTGTTTACCTGTAACAAAGGATCAATTTGCCATTTTATTTGTGGTAACCATGGATAAAGCTCATTGTTGTCCACTGTTGTGATGATCTTAATATGCAGTTCTTGGTCACAGATTTACATCTGCTAAAAAATTGGAATGAATCTCTTTTGAATTCTCAATTAGCAGTGATATATATGTGAAGCGTTCTTCTTCCAGGGTGAATTTTAAATGCAATACGCTGTAGGTAAATTTTATGTGAATATGAAAATATGTTAATCTTGGATACATACATACATAAATAAGTAAAAAAATAAATCCTTCGAAGATAGGAAGCAAAGCTAAGGGTTTACATACATTGCTTAAGATGGAGGTCTTCAACAGGGGGTCCACGGAGGTACTGCATGGGGGGTCCCGAAAGTTTTGGTTGATTAGACCTTTTATTTATATTGCCCCTGCATTTTTTCCCCCTACACTGTAGTAAACAGATAAATGGAGGCAGAAGATGTCTTTCAGTCATCAATGCACACATTCAGCGACACACAGGAGCTCTTTCAAACTGGGCACCGTTTCATTCACAACACCTGTCCCATCAAACAGGAATCAGAATCAGAAATACCTTAATAATCCCAGGACGTTTCATTACTCCATATGTACTGTACAGTAATAGAGTGACTATAGGACCAGTTTGATATAACACAATTGCATACAATATATTTAATTAGGGGGTCCCCGCTCCGTCTCCCCATCAGTTTGGGGGCCCTTGGCCTGGAAAACATTGAAGACCCCTGGCTTAAGAAGTGTAATGGCATAACTGCAAGCTGTATTTGCNACCTTTTATTTATATTGCCCCTGCATTTTTTCCCCTACACTGTAGTAAACAGATAAATGGAGGCAGAAGATGTCTTTCAGTCATCAATGCACGCATTCAGCGACACACAAGAGCTCTTTCAAACTGGCCACCATTTCATTCACAACACCTGTCCCATCAAACAGGAATCAGAATCAGAAATACCTTAATAATCCCAGGGCGTTACATTACTCCTTATGTAATAGAGTGGCTATAGGACCAGTTTGATATAACACAATTGCATACACTATATTTAATTAGGGGGTCCCCGCTCCGTCTCCCCATCAGTTTGGGGGCACTTGGCCTGAAAAACATTGAAGACCCCTGGCTTAAGAAGTGTAATGGCATAACTGCAAGCTGTATTTGCTAACCAATAGTAAAATGCCTTTTTTCCTAAAATCCTTATAATTACTTAAAGTCATAGTAAACCTGAATCCACCCTGATATTTCAATTTGAAAACAAGTCATGTCCCACCAGTTTGAATTTATTTAGGATTTTCTTTAATCTGCACATTCCAAGTTTTACATACAGTCCAATAACTTCCTGTATAGTTAGTCAGTGCGTTCCAGAGGTTTTTATCATTCCTAAAGCAGTTTTGATGTCTTCATTTACTTTCAACAATCTCACAAAAACTCGTATCCTCAAATTTAGGTAAACTAGCTGAGGTATTTAAAGGGATATGAATTAAGGTCTGAGCTTCCTTCATTTGTTGAAAACTTCCTCAATATTTATTCATGATTTATTAAGTTGCTAATCAGACTCAAAGTCGGCCATTATTTATCTTGCCTTTTTCATCGCAATTGACACATTTTTTACTTTCTTACTCTTGTGTGGAGTTTGAGGTACACTTGTGGTTTTCTGTGATCCATCTTCACAGTCACTCCTGTTCTATTACTAATGCTTCAGTCAATGGCAGCAGAGACTCATCAAAGTAGCAAGGTTACAAGAGGGCGCAGCATGTTACATCCAGAGAATAAGACCAAAATAACTATCATGAACTGACTAATGGAGTGTATCAAGGCAACTGTGTTAAATAGAGAAAAAGTCACTTTACATGTTGGGCAATTTCAACAGCTTCTATGGTAAAGTATAGAAATAAAATATAACTTTTAAAGCTATGCACCTTTAAGTAAAACCCATAAAACTATCCAGGCTTATGCTTCTTAAACACCAACTGTTGGACAACCAGTGTCAGCGTCAACAGTTTAACATTAAGATGTAGAAGAGAGAAAATACAAGAAAATAAACCCCAGCTCCAAAATCAGCATTTTCAAGCATGAATGAAATTTGCAGCTGGTCTGGAGAAAGGTTCATTGTTATTTGAGAGATTCATTGAGCTCTTTAGCTGCAGTGAAAGAATGTTTGGAAAAGTCACTGTGAGACTTTTAAATTTAAAACCAAGTCTGCAAGGTCTTTAAAAAGTCATAAAAGACTTTAATGCGGTCATCATAACTTAAGACCCTAAAAAGTCTTAAATATCTGCAGAATATTGATATGGAATTAAATCATAAGTCCTTCATTTTTTTCATCTTTCATTCTTTTATCGTTTATCTTCTCTTTTATGTAATGCAGGCATTACTTTGTTCAATGATTTGTAGTTCTGGCTGAAGAAGCCCATTAGACAGGGCAGAAATAAGCATAAGACATGTCAACAGGTCACCCAGCTGTCCCCACGTAACCACAAAAGAAGTATCTGTATAAACGTTTCAGTCATTTCAAAGCTGACTAATACACATCATCAATAACACTTTTTAATCTTATTGTTTACACAGTAGGAAGAGAAGCCATGAAATCATAGCAACAGCTGGAGAAAAAAAAGCTTATTTCTGTTCACAAAATACATTTTACAAGCCTAGACTGCAAAGTCTGTGAAAAATAAACTTGGTAAATGATTATAATGCTTCATAATATACTGTATACATTTTTTTTTTTGGATGTAAATATTTGGCTACATTTAATGTTATGAAAATGTGAGACAACCTGGTGGTGGCCGCTTCATTAAACAATCTTTTAACCCCCACATCCAAAGGCCTGTTTAGGTTCATTATACCAATGAGACACAAATATCTACAATGCAAAATAGAGGGAAGATTTAAACAGTAAATATCAGCCTAAAGCCATAAAACTGTAAATAAAAATGATTATAAAACCAATGTTAAAAAAAGCCTTGTATTTCTCCTTAACTGTAAATCAAAGCCAAGCTGAAGAATTAGTCTATAAAAGGCAGTTAAACTCTCATTCACGGTGTCTGTTTCTTGGCAATTGGTGAGAAAATTAAATTTTACTAAAGAGGAGGATTTAAACCACTGTTTAAAAAAAATAGAAACTAGTCTGGGAATATGTTCAGATGTTGAACATAAAATGTTTGGCTTTCCCAAAACCCAGGGATCAACTTCCCGGATCAGAAAATGAACATTCTCCAAAGAAAAGTCTAGAAGAACATTGAAATAAGGTTTCTTTGCTGTCTCCTAAAACAGTATTTATCCATATTTTGGTTGGATTGCATTTATATATATACTTTAGACTGAACTTTTTGTATAATTTTCATAAAAAGCGCTGATTAGAGTAAAATCCACAATAAATTCAACCCACTTTCCCAAGTATATTAGCCTTTTTTTATTTCTCCCTGGAAGGAAACTGCTAATATGCATTGATATGTTCTCTAATTTTAACCATTTAATCTTTTATTTTAATACTGTTGTGTTTCTTATTGTATTAATTATTTATAGTCTGCACTTTGTTCAGCACCTGCTGTTTTTAAGATGGTCTGTAAAGAAGGTTTGTTTGACTGAATAAAAATCCAGATTATTACGACATTCATGCAAAGAGAACTGAGACTAAACTTTTGACCCAAACTGCAACTCTTATTCCACATTGTTTGCATTTTGAGTAAATATAATGATTGCAAAGGCTTTTGCAAACTAATGTATATCTCCCTTTCTAGGGCTTTGATGCATTAGAGAAATAAGGAGAAGCAGACTTGGCATTACATTGTACATATGATAAGAAATGATGGGACTCATTTGTAGAAAATAGACCACAAAATCATAGAACAATCGATTCCTTTAGACTTCTTTTATTTTCAGGCACCCATCTGAGGTTCCCATTTCACAAATCTTTTGCCACATAAACATTTTGGTGAAATACAAATGATAAAGCTGTGATTTCTGGTAACAAAATGATCTGTTCTTTGAAAATACATAAAAGAAAGCAATAATGGTTTGCACGTTAATGTCTCTGGACTCTTTGTTTACCCACTGAAACTGTTCCTTGCTGCTGTTTAGTCACAGTTAAATGCTACTGTATAACACCTGCTCGGATTGTATGTTTTTTATTTTTAATTCCATAAAATAATCACTTCCTGTAAATGTTTGGTACATAATATTGGCACATCGGATATATTTTGTATGTAAAGGTTTTTTAATATGAATATGCCACTGTATGTTGTGCTGTCAATGGTACAATGGTGTACAAGTAATGATTATTAGACAGCAGACATTTAATGCTTATTTAATCGTCGTCTTTTCCACAACATTCCCACTGTAAAAATCAAAAATTGCCTAGAAAGTTTAAATTAGTCATACAGTTTTGGATAAAGATACAACAAAAAAAACAACAAAGAAAAACACAATCATTTTGCCCTTCACTTATTACAAACTGAAAAGAAAACTGCAAAGTTAAATTTTCTCCGGTTTCCCAAAACATATCTGGGAGTAGATTTAACATCTAGCGCCTGCCAGGATCAGGGTGTTCTTTTCCATTTACATTTTGAAGAATGTGTGGTGGCCTTGAACACTGACGCTGGACTACTACTCCCTTACAGTACCAGAAATTACCGGGGCATGTCACGGAAATTATACTCATATCCTGAATATGTCAGACTTGACACTCTTTTCCGAACAGAAATCTTGCAAAAACTGAATTGGTCCGAAACAAATCAGCAAACAAAAAGAGTAAATGATTAAACATTCTGTCCAAATACATGTATTTACTGTTAATGATTGATAGATGAATAAGTAAAGTGCCACAATTAGTTCCTCAGAGATTTCTTCTGGTTTTGTCTTTTTCAAAGATAAATGCTTCATTTTACTGTAAACAGATTTTAATATGATAAAAAGATTTAAGTTACAAAGTCAGTATTTTTCACCAAAGAGCAGAATCCATAGTGTGATAGTTAGCCCCTGATCATCACTCACCCACATTTGTGTTTGACTAGGTTTAATTTTAAATGCTGTTATAAAAGATCTAAGGATCATTCAGTCTCCTTCATTACATCAGAGGGGTTCTATTTAAGTGACCTCTAGATCCCCAAGATATAAAGTAAGGTGTTGTTTCGTAGTATTAAAGCTGGAATGTGGCTTGTGAAATTTCACTTTAAAAAAATGCGTTTGGATCAAAATTGAACATTTTACACCTGTGGATGTAGTTTCCAAGAGAGTCTGGCTGAAGACCTGCACTCTCATGACCCAGACCTGAAAAACGGGCTCTCCTGCACTGTCAGGACCGTAAGTTTATTACGGAAGTTGTATTCAAAGCCTTCTGGAATAGAGCGCAGCACGTGTTTGCTGTCAAATTAGATTTTATGACAGTGTTAAACAGAATAGGAGCAGTTTAAATTATACAGTAAGCAAAAATCCTCATAGGACAGCCAACCTCCACTGTCATTTAGAAACCAGTGATCCAAATGCAGACTTATTTCTATGTAGAACATATCTATTATTCCAGATAGGAGTTTGCTTTTACTTTGTAAGTCTTCAAATACACTTCCAGTTGTAACAGTGCAGGGGAGCTCACATTGAAGCTATGGGTCCTGGCAGTGCAGATCTTCAGCCAAACCCCTCTCTTAGCTTTTTTTTGCTTAATACCCGTGTCATTGTTAAGTTAATGTTTTCTCTGTATTATGTACAATTTTAATAAGCCTTCTTCCAAAGACCTCAATTTGTAGCTCCTACCTCCTGTTCCTAGATCCTATCCCTTCATCTTTTTCCAGCTCAACAATAAGAACTCCATCATAGATAGGAAAGAAACTAAGGACTGCTGTGCAGAATCTGGACACCTTACAGGTGTCATTATGCAACAGACATGCCCAAAGATGAAGCTTGTTTAATTGGTTTAACAAGAAGAACAAAAAAGAAAACTAACACAAATATAGACAACCGCTGAAGCTCTCCATTATAATTCTAAAACATATGACTATGTGAACAATATCATGTGTCACACACTACATGCAAAATAGTGTATTTTTGTTAAACTCTGTTACATTGGCTGTGCCTATGCATCCTGCATGCAAAGGATTATGGGCAACCGTATAGCCCCTAGTGGAGGATAGGAACATCGGGGGGCCCCTATGGTAACTGAACTGTTGATAGGAAGCATCCTGCTTCCTCTTCCTACTGCCTTCCTTACTGCTAATCAGGTAGTACTTATCATGGCGACCACCTCTACTTTGACTTAAATGTCATTACCGATTTGCTTAATTGAGAAGGTGCCATGATATTCTGATGATCTGAAGCATTTATTGTGACAAAAAAAAGAATAAACAGAAGAAATCTATGAGGGGAAAACTTTTTCTTTTTTCTCCACAGGCATCTTTTACTCAAGAAATGTTGGTTAGATATTACATGTTTAGCTGTGTTAAACTAGGATGATGTGCGTAAAGGGTTGACTGATTCGTTTCGTTTCCAATGTGAAAAGATTTATTAATACATTTTTGTCTCATAAACTTTACTGGCTTGGATAAAATATAAATATTTGTCGTCCTTTCAATGATAAATTCTGTTCACAAAATAAAAATAGGTCCTTCTTTGTGCATCTCTGAAAGTTGTTTCTTAGTTTTGTTTTTGTGTGTGTTTGCAAATACTTGACTAAATATATATATAAATATATATATATATATATATATCTTCAGATTTCTGTCCCTATTTATACTTGATTTTGATTATTTTGCACGTGCCAATAAAAAATATTCTGCACAAAGAAGGCAAGATTCCTGTGTAGTTTTTTTTCGTATGTCTTCTATTTTTTTCAACCTCAGTACAAAAATATCAGTATCTCTGATGTTTCTTTTTTAATCTACTGTGTTCCTGAAAATAGATAAAACTGTACCGAAGCGGCAAAATGGTAAATATTGGATACACGAGATTTACGAGGGGGCACAATTACTGTCAACCCTGGTAGAGATGTGTAAAAAGCTTTAAAATGCACTTCTGTTTTATTGCAATTGTAAAATCTGACGTTGAAAGTTTATTTTTTTCATTTTTTTTTATTGAAGGAAAGAAATTTCACATTTATACAGAATTTAATCATATAAAAGCTTTTTCATGAATCACCCACACATTTCAAATAAAACAAATGTACCAATTATGATTTAATGGAGATTTTCTTTTACAATGTTTTCTGTTGTCTGTACAGCCTTTTGATTAGTAGCCGTATATTTAGAGCATCTAGATTTATGAAACAGCCCATTTCATACAGTTGCTCTCCAAAATGGGAAATACAACAGAACAGTCAGTTTAATTAAGTGAGGCAGATGCCTGTTGATCTTACTGAGAAAATTACTCAAAAAAGATAGCTAAATGAATACATTTGCCATTAAATACACAGTTAAGGGAATGATAGAAATAAAAATAATGTTTTTTACACATCTGTACCAAGAAAAAAACAACAATATTTGTGGCACTATTATTTTTTTATGATATGCCTTGTCAAAATATTTGTATCCATTGAATCTTTTCAGATTTTGACACATTACAACCATAACAGTTCTACAGATATCTACATATTATTGGGATCATATGTGATAGAATAATACTGTATCTACAAATAAAGTAGAATTTTTTTTACCACTTTTCTTTATCCTTCACCTAAATAGTAAATAGTCCGCATGCTTACTTAGTCTCATTAATAATCCGCCTGTCCTGTGAAGGTCTTGGAGGTTTGTTAGGGCAGTATTTCCAAACCCTCATCTAAAAGCCAACCCCCCTGCAAGTTTTAGATGTTTTCCCCCTTTAACACATTTTCCTTCTATAACACCCTTGATTTAAAATGATAGCTGACTAAAGAGCTTTTGCTGAACTATTAATCAAATGGTAAATGGTAAATGGTAACCATAACTATTAATCATCCTAATCAGATGCGTTAAAGCAGGAAAACATCTGAAACATGTCAGGCAGTGTGCCTTGAGGACCATGATTGGAAAACACTGGATTGGAGAACATTAAGAAACAATTATCACTATTTGAAGAACAGAGTAAACCACCTATGAGAGGTCAAACGTTGGCGACTTCAGACTAGGGCAGAGGTTTACCTTCCAGTAAGGCTGACTTTACACTGAAGGAGTCATCCATGCGTCACCTCTTATTTTGAAATGTTCCAGATCCACCTTTCTCTTTTCCTGTCTAGTTTGCTGTCTGGTTTGTCTATTTTTTTAAATAACTGATTTTTGCTCCATCTGGGATGAAAATTACACTTGATCCATATTTCTGTTTACAGCAGAGGGGACTATTCGTCATATCTTGAATTGGTGGGGACCAAAAAATTCACCAGTATGGTTTCTATTTGTGATGAAACACGCAGAAGTGAATAATCCAGGTCCAGAAAGTAAAAACCCTGCCTTGTTTTCCTTTATCATCACTTAACGAGGTGTTTAGATCCTCAAGTGATTAGTCCGTATTGTGGAGCTGGAAATGTAAACGGTTGGAACCGATTTCTGTACAGGCTTTTTATTTTCTGGACTGGGATTATCCACCTCTTGAAAGCAGGGGATGCGTGAATAAAGGAATCTGTGTGAATGAAGGAGCTAGCTGCAATGGAATGGTTTCAGGTCACAGCAAATACTATTCAAGCTGACTGAGTTTGAGATATTATCAATTAAAATGGACAAAACAATTAGAACAGAAATGTTCTTTGAAGGCTGTGGTGGTAACGTGACCAAAAATTGAAAAGGAGATCAAGAATACAAATGCTTTAGTAGGCACTTTTTGTCCAAGTTGATGTTATTTTTTATCATTTTGCCATACTTTGAGGCATTTATCAGAGTTTAGATAATTGACTACAGTGCAAAGCAGGGTCTGAAGAATCCAGTATTCTGCAGCAATAATCCAGTCAAAGGCTGCCTCCACAGAGTCATGATGTTTTTCCTTACTGCTTTGTGTGGAACAGCAGTGGTTTCACCATGCCAGCCAACACCTTTGGTAGTTGAGAGGCGATGACCTCTGACATCATCTCTGGAAACTGCACTTTCATGGCGTCCGCCTGGATGAAGGTGCTCAGACAGAATAGGTTGACCTTCTTTACTATCTGTCAGAGAGAGGACATTTATGTTTGTCTTTGTGCTAAACAGATATATACACCTAACAATGGCTTCCTACTCTTTGATAGAGCCTTACATCATGCATAGCGTCCATCAGTTTGGTAAGGTGGTAGAATCGCTGCGAGCTGGCCACCACGCCCTTCTCCTTCATGTGGATGGCTCTGGAAAGCTCTCTTATGTAGTTTTGTCTCATTTCCTCAAATGCAGCCTGACTTTTCAGACCTTCAAGAGGAACTAAGAAAACAACAGGCTAGAAGTGACACTTATCTGCAAATTCATTCACTTATTAAATTAATTAATTTGTTGACTGAAGAGCAGTTGCTACAGTATTTTATTCAAGGTCTAATCTTGTTTAATACTTCTGTTATTTTTCAGGTCTTCATTAGTTGGTCATCGAAGCTCCACATTCCTGGTTGCAACATTGTGTAATAATCGTGTAATTTACCTGTGTTCAGTAATATTATGGCTTTCATGCACAGGAACTCCTCTCGGGTCACTTGTAGGTTGGCAAACTCTTGAGGGATAAACTGGATCGCCAAGCACAGGTCATAAATGGGAGATCTCCTCATCTGCTCCCTAAAAAACAAACAAAAAAATTAAAATAAGGTAAAAGTAATAGTATCTGTTTTCAACATACAAGTGTCAGTAACCTCAAAAGTTCAGTCAGTTCAAGACTCATCCTATCTATAAGATCCTATCTTTGTGAAGCGGGATTTTCTGCGGTTACAGCGACCAAAACAAAGCTACGGAGCAGACTGGACATCAGGAGCGTCTGTCAATTTTGTCCGATTGCGCCTAGATGGGACCGGCTTGTTGTTTTATTTTTATGCTGTTTGTATTTGATTTTATGCCAGTTGTATCATTTTACCCTAACGCTAAAAAAAGAACATTCCCTCACTATGGTGATGCCACCACTGTGTTTCACTATTTATAATGAGGGCCACATTGTTGGATTGTTTGACTTATTGCACATGCATATTTGTCCAACAAACATGAAAAAGTACTTCAAACATAAAGGCCTGCAAATAAAATAATTAGACTAATGCATTACATATATGCAAAGGAAAACAGGGCAAAGGAGAAATGCTGTACTCAGAGCAGCAAAAAAACCCAAACAAAACACATGAATGGTTCAAAATTCACTAGACACATACAAAAAATGCTGCAATTAGACTAAACTACATTTAGCCCCATTCATGTACACTGATGGTGACAAGCTACAATGTAGCCGCAACTACCTTGAGGCACACTGACAGAAATTAAGAAAAGCTGCAAACTGTCTCTGTGTAGCTCCAAACCATTAGGGGGGGGGTGACAGTACAAACACCAACCCATAGGGTACAAGCATAATAGCGTTGGTAAGGCTGAAGGCTGCCTGGATTCAGCACAGTGGTCTGGATCTTCTCTCCTACTCTCAGCTACAGTATGATGTATTCAGAATCAACCTTTGGAAAAGACTTGAAGAAAAATATACTTTTTCATTCCTTACTCTAAATGTCCTTAGGGAAAGCATCCTATTTATTTTTCAGTTACACGTCGGGTCAGCTCACTTTGATTTGTAGTAATATCTATGTACTGCTCCCATATGGGTTAACTATTGTCTCTCCCTAGTGGTTTGGAGCACGATTGTTATGTGGAGTTAGCATACAGCTTTTCATAACTTGGAGTTGTATTTGCTGCTGTTTAGAAGCCTTATGCTGCGTTCACACCGGACGCAGCAGGCGCGACAGAAGCAGCGAGTTTACATGCAAAGTCAATGGTTGACGCGCGTCAAGGCGCAGCAAAAGGTCCTGCAGCGCGTTTTGAGCAGCAGACGCAGCGCGTCGGGCGCGTTTAAGCATCTGATGCGCGTGGCGCGCCGCAAACACACTGCTGCTCGAGATGGAAAAATTTAATTTTTGTTGCTCGACGCGCCGTGTCAACCAATCAGAGAAGCTGATCTGGGAGCTGGCAGGGAGAGAGACACAGCGCTGATGATACAGAGTGCTATGATCACTCCTCTGAAACAGTTTATTGATGCATAAATTAACTTAAAATGCAGAAATTTGCCGGCAGAATATGTTCGCTTTTATTATTCTGGTGCCTCCAGATCGGATTATTTAGATGAAAAACACCTACCAGCTGCCGCGGTGAACCGCAAGGTGGCGACCCGGCCAGAGGCTGCTGTTGAAGGGATTCCTACTGTCAGCGCACCGCCGGTATGTGGGGGTCTGAGTGCCTCCGACAGAAATAATATTGGAAGGCAAGATTGTAATCTGAATGAACTGACTGCACTGATTAAGTTTTCAGGTCTAATTTCTCACTTAAAACCATATTAAAACTACTTTATTCCCACTGATCACAGCAAATATAGCTGCAAGGCAGAGAAAGGATAGTGAAGCTCCGCGTCAGACCCACTTTTGCAACGTGCAGCTCTGCCCGCGCGTCAGAGCTAACTAGTACAAGCAGCAAAAATGAAGCAGCAGACGCGATTTTGCTGCTCTTGCTGCATCCGGTGTGAACGTAGCATTATTTTGGTCGATGAACTACTTTAGGTATTTGCTGCGCATTAAGTATTTGGATCCCTCAGCCACTGTACTTATTGCCTCTCACAGACCTCCTGCGCCATTACGGAATGACCACATTTATTTATAAAAGAAATTACACACTCATGGATTTATTTATAAGGGAACTGTTAATAGCATTATCAAATTAAGAAGTTGGAGACGCTAAACTTTAGACTTTCATTACCTTTTTAGTATTTCATACACTAATATGTACATTTCTGTAGGTCTACCACATACAATCAAAATAAGCTACATTAACATTTCTTGTTCCAAGTATACATTAAATTAGAATGTTTAAGGACTATGAATAGTTTTGCAAGGCACTGCAATGTTAACTTACTGGCTAAGAACCAGATCAGGTGCAAAGTATAGATATTCGCTGGTGACATTCTGAAAAGAACGCCAACCGAGAGAGAACACCATCAGGTTCATCCATGAGTACTGGATTAGAGTCATCTGATCATTGATGTGCAGATTGCGAAAACCTTGGAATAAAAGAAGAACACAGAGTAAAAAAAACTAAAGAAAAACACCAAAACATCTGATCTCATCAGCTGTTCTACTACCTGTTACTTTGATGCATGATAACAGAACAGATCACTGTAGGACATTATTTTTCCTGATATACTACTCTCTCTCTCTCTCTCTCTCTCTCTCTCTCTCTCTCTCTCTCTCTCTCTCTCTGAGATTAGAGTTTAACACTTCCTATGACTAATGGGAATCACTTAAGGTTGAGACCTTTAGCAAGGCCTCCCAGTTTGATCCCCATGACAACAAATAAGGTAGCCCTGAATCGAGAGCTGTTACCTGGCAGGGACTTGGACCACTTGACAATCCACAGCAGCTGTTTCTCACACAGCCTGTTGAGACTGTTGAGCAGAAGATGGGGAACTTCGGGTTGTGAGTTGTCATAACCTGAGTACACAATCTCGGGTTCGATGTTTTCCAGAATGCTGATTATTTGTTGGGACATCTGAATCTCGTGGATACTTGGTACACAAGACATGGAGGTCAAGGCCTGGCTATCCCCAGACATGGACAAATGGGACTGGAACATCAGGGACGGGGCCAAGCCTAAGGCCTTCAAGGCTCCAAAGCGCTTCAGCTTCCTTCCTGTGACACAAATATAATGCTTTATCAAACCTAATAAACTTTTCCTTTTACACCAAATAAAAGTCAGACATTTAAGGGCAAAATACATGTGTATATAATTGCAATAAATCCACAATTATCTCATTTCTTAGTTTCTTGTTTCTCATTCCAGCTATCTATAATTTTTACATCTTGCACACTGCAATGTGCCCTTTGATGTAAGGGGACCTGCAGAAGAAAATGTCTCTCTAATGACTCTTCAACCACAACTTTAAATCAGCATGAAAATGTAATCTATTAGCCAAGATGTGCTATATTAACTATATGTTAATGGGAGTGGTGAGGTTAGGGTATAGAGCTTGGAATCCTGAGGTTCTGAGTTTGAGCCCCACTCCCACAGACTACCACTTTGGGTCCCTAAGCAAAGACCCTTAACTCCTCACTGCTCCTCGGACGCCCTACAATGGCAGCCCACTGCTCCCCAAGGGCATGGGTTAAATGCAGAGGGATCATTTTGTTGCTTGTGACAGTGTAATGACAATAAAAGGTGAAAAAAAACATAAATATAAGGTTTACATTGTATATATTTACATTGAGAAGACTATACTTGTAATATTATATAACTTTGATCACCCTGCATACACTGAAGCATGGTAGGGACAGCGTTATGATCTGGGGTTAATTTTCAACAAATGGACATAAGATTCTACTTAGGCTAGATTAAATTATAAACTACTCTCCAATCCAGCTCATTAGTGTCTGACGTTAAGTGCTGAAAATAAGTTTTAGCATGCATCCAAACCCTTAAAATAAGGGCTCTACCACAGAAATTGGAATTGTCCCGCAGTATATCTGGAAGATGTTTGGTGTTTTCACCTGAAAAGATTTATGCAAAGTAAATCTTCCCACAGTCTGAGAACTTTTTCAAGGTAGAATAGACAAATATTACAAAGTCAATATGTAGGAGGCTGATAAAGTCCCAATAAAGACTGAAAGCTGGAAATAAACAAAAATATTGTTCAACGAAGTTTTAAAATAAATGAGCATCAACTTAATTTTGAAGTCCAAAAAACTGTACAGTCTTGAGATCCACTGAAGGTATAAATATAAACCTGTAGCTTTAAAAAAAGAGTGATCCTATTTTTATTTCATGAAGATTCCGCATTGAAAACTAACATGAATATTGGCTATCAGTACAAAAAAAAAGACATCCTACCTCCAAGCATCATTCCTGCTTGATAACACTTTCTGAGGCGACATGCGGGGCAATTCTTCCTCCGAATTTTGTCCACAATGCAGTCATTTCGCCCGGCACAGAGATAGCTGTGATGGCCTGTTGATGACAATGAGCACAGGCAGACAATACATCCAATTTTAGCAGTGCTTGATTTCTAAATGTGTAGGCAACCAGTGAAGGTAAAAGATGGATGAGAGGGGGGTAAAAAAAAAGGGTTGAGGGTCTCTTGACTAACCACTCCGAGCTAAGGCAGCGATCTGAAAGACTTAAAGAGGCAAATTAGATAGAGGCAAGGCTGTGAGGACAGAGTGACATGGCCATGGTGAGACATAGTGGCTCTCACTATATCTTGCCCTACAAGATAACAAAAATTTTAAAAAAAAAGAGTCCGAGATGAAGAACATGGTGTACACTGTTCAAAGTGATACTGTTTCTAATAACCTTTAACAACCATCATAGAAGGTCACACAGTGTTTGTGTGTGACTCTGGGTTTTTTGTTTGTGCCAAAATTCTGCTATTAACTTAGATTAGATTACAAGATAAATACAGCAAATAAATATCTTTATTAAACTCCATGTAACCAATTGTAAATATACATTTATATGTACTGTACAGTGGCACCAAAGGACTTTGACTCAAAGGTTTAAAAAGATGTAAGAGGCTCAATATAACAGCATAAAAGAACATTGTAACATTCATTTTCTTTCAAAACCTTTTACCAGTGTAACATTTCACATTTAAAATCCTTCGAATGTGGAGCTTGTTGATAACTCACATTAGAGAACAAGTTATAAGAAGCTTATAAGAAGCTTATAAGCCTATAAGTGTTAGCAGAGGATCGTGCTAGCTGTAGTTAATAATCACTTTGATTAAATTATTTGCTTCAATAGACACTGTTTTAACCTTTGATGTATATGCATGATTATTTTTTAATCCAAATTAAAATATATGTCAATAAAAGACTTTGCAATATTATTGATGGAATGAATATCTGTAATCAGCTTTTTCACGTGTAGCCACCAAATCAACACAAATTAAAATGCCATAAATTCATTAAAATGCGGAGAAAAAAAAACACAGAAGAAACTATTTATTAGATTTTTTTTAAAACATTGATCTGAAGAAATACGTTTACTTGTCTTTTTTTATGTTTCAGTGTGGAACAGCTTTAAACATTTAAGTTTGGAATTTACTTTTGTTAACAAAGATTGATTAGTGTCGTATTTATGTGGCCCCTAAAGAGATTCGCATGATTATACATGATGAACATAATAATAGTTCTTACAAGACAGATATAATTCTAAAACCCTTTTTTTGATAGTGTAATTTATTTGGTATTATTCAGATAAATATATAAAACAGTTTAGCTTGCTAGATATCTGGTTATGTAGCAGCCTTCAGAAGATAGCAGCATTGCCAAATGACATCACTATCACTTCATAGATATGGTTAAAAGTAGGCCACGAAAACTAAGAAATAACTCCATCCACAACAATAAACTTAAGTTAATTCTAACCAGTAGGAGAAATTTGAATAAAACATGTCTTAAAATTAATGTTTTTCTAGAATTAGCTGTGCAAAGCAGGTTAATGTTTATTTGGTGGAGGTTAAATAAGTAAATAAAGTAAAAAAGTTACCATTATATTTTCCAAAAAACTAAAAGGTTGAATATATTTAAATTAAGCATCTTCAAGAAGTATCTCAATACTGAGTTATTCAGTAGAGTTGGACTAGAGTATCATAGCGCTCTTTTTGTAGTGGTCTCACTGGAATATACTTTAGCTACAGTAAAAGTAATCACATCATTATTAATATCACATATATAAGTGACTACAAAAATTCTTTTATCAGACATAAGACATTATCATGACTTCCTGCATAACCACTTAACCACTTAAACTCGGCACAACATTTTACAACCCTTGGTTTTTCCCTTTTAGAAAATTTTTATTACAATCACAGAGGGATAGTCAACATTTTAGGGATTGGAAAGCTAAACAAAAGTAAAGTAAAGCAAACTTAAATTATGCACTTTAAACTTCTGGCAGTCTGAAAGTTGGAAATGTAGCTCACCTTCCACTGCTCTTTTGAAAAAGACCTTACAGCTCCCACATGTTAAGACTCCATAATGGCAGCCAGATGCTTCATCCCCACAGATAACGCACATTCTCTGTGGTTGCATCCTGAAAAATAGACCAAACCGTTATATGTGAAGGAAAACTTGGGAGCCAAAAACTGCAACAGATCAATGTCATTAATTAATTACAAAAATAAAAAAAATATGTGAGATTTTTAAGAAATAACTGGATATAAACTATGAATTTATGTAATCTTTTAAGCTTTTTTATTAAGTCCTTTTATGGGTGGGACTATCAATGCTACAGTAAGTTGCTGCCCAGGTTAACCAATTAGATGTTAGGGTTACTTTGAATAGTGACAGATTTGGTTGTTGCATACAGGGCCTTAATTGTAATTCAATGATAAATTAAATCTTAAGATTTGGATACATAATACAATACATTATTTTACAATACATTTATAATTTTTAACATTTTAATCTTATCTATATATATATATATATATATGACATGGATTTATATAATGTAGTAAATTAATGTTTTTAAATTTAAATCAACACAACTGATTACCTCATCAATAAATGGTTACTTTACTGAGTAAAGTACCAATTACAAAGAAATATGCAAAGAAATCAAGATCAGGTTTCATTTTATGTTATAAGCACACATGGATCATTGGAAACCAATTTCTTATTATTGCATTAATAAATATATCTGATTAGAATACATTTAAATCTTAATAGGTTGAATTGAATATTTAAAAGCCAACCACAAGGTTTGCTTATCAATATAATGAGTTTATTTACTGTTTTTAATATTAGCCTATCAAACTATTAAATAGTGTACGTTTATAACTCCAGTACCTACTGAATTTAGGACAGCTCTTTTGTTTCCTGTTTTTCTGCTGGATGAACTAATTAATCCAGCTGTGCCTGAGCTCAGTAACCATGGCCACATCTGGATTAATCAAGTAACCCAGTAATGGCAGACAAGAAACAAAAGAACTGCCGTAAGTTCAGTAAGAAGTGGAATTGTGCATAAAGGCCATTGTTCCTATAGAAATAACTTAATTATGCAGTTTGTTCAATTAAGGTAAAGTTTCTTAAGTAAATTGTGCTTTTTTCCCCCTTTTGCAACACTTATTAGAGTTAAGTATTTATCATGAAAGCACAATTTAACGAAATAACTCAATAAGGAATTTTAATAAATAATTACCCAGGGAAAGAGGAGAAAGGTGAAGGGTTCCTCTGAGTCTGGGTGTGGTTCTGGATCCCATCGTAGTTGTTGGCTGTAAAGGCGTCTGTCTCAGTCATACCTGTCGAGTGGAGCCAGTACTGGGATTCAGATGTAGAGGTTTGGATCTCCCACCGTGAAGCTTCAGTCTTGTACATGGTGTTTGGTGATGAGTGGGCGGACAGAGCGCACCTGGACTCGGTCCTTCCGAGGTTCCCAAGCTGCTCTGGCTGCTTTAACTCCAACAGACAGTTTGGAGAGCCCTCCAGCCGTGGTCGAGGAACCACCTCCAGCCCCTGCTGGTGTTTGCTGTCGATTTCGCAGCAGGTGTCTAATGCAGGGATCTCTGGTGATGCGTCAAACCTCGGACAGGGGGTGTCCATTATCACAGAGGGCTCCTTTTCGTCTTTAATGAACTTACAAGCCCCAGAAGCTGAGGACAGGCTTAGATTTACTCCTGGCAAACTTTCCGATATAGATGAACCGGTGCTCTGAGTTTTAACAAAATCTTCCCAGGGAACACTATCAGACTTTAAATAGTCGCTGTCATAAAACTGCTTTCCAGAAGCTGAAGCATCAATAACATTACAGTCTTTATAAACTGCGCAGTCTCCACTTAAATTCAACCCGTGAACTAAAGCGCCTGGGGTTTCCAAATTACGCACAGGCAGTTTGGTGGACCTGCTGAAGCCAGGATCAATCAGTTCTCTTACTCTCGCTTCAGCTGAATCAGCAATCGAAGAGGCGCTCATCTTCCCGTTAAGTTTGTCTTCCATCAGTAGTTGGTTTCTTTCCTTCCTTCTGTGGCTCGAAGAAGCGTCCTGAGTGCGTCTGCAGGCTGGATGTTACAGCGAGATAAGGAGACCTTCCTATAATCCTCCTCCCTGCCTCTGACTTTGTCTTTCACATGAACCAAAGCCTTTATAATACCTCAGATTCTTTTTTATAATATTTCTTTGTGAGGCAAATAAACCTTTGTTATTTAACTTAGATTGCGTTTATATTCTCTTTACAAAAATAACAAAAGAAAACTGATAAAAAGCAACACTTTCCTCTTTTTAACGTCGGGGACATTTCTAATTTACCTTACAGTCTTCCAGTCCTCCACAGAATCAACTAAGCTTTTAGACTTCTAACCAAATGGCAGAGCTAAAAAGAAGTGGCATTCTTTTCAAGAGAATCTCAATGTCAAGGGCCATTAGTCTCCGCCCTACAGATCATGAATAAGTGCAACAAACTGTAAATAGGTGTTACCATCATGGGAATTTAAAACTAACAGCCTATCTGACAACTGAAAAGAATGTTTAAACAAATCATCCTAGGGGCCAAAGGCTGGTCCTAATGGGATGGGCCCCTATTTTGAATGTTGGTTAGTTTATATGTATGCCAGTTAGGGTTAGGGTTAGATATATACTGGTAATGATTGGGGTTTAAGGTGAACGATAGGCTTAGGTATAAATGCTGGACCTAAAAGGAAGAATTAAAAGAATCCAACCAGCAACCTCACTTCTGAATCCATACATCCGAAACTATAAAAGAAGTCAGTTTTTCTTACATTAAGTGCATTTGTTCTTGAATGTATGGGGTAAGTGTGACATTTTGCCAATGGATCAAGACAATTTACATTTAAAATAAGAAAAACCTATTGCATTGTCTTATTTCAAGTGCACATTGTCTAATTCTCTTGTTTTAAGAGTAAAAATGCTCATTCCATTGGCAGATCATCTTTTTTAACTGCTCAAATTAAGGGTAAATACATATAATTTAAGACACATTTACTTATTTCTAGACTGTTTTTGCAGTGTGAACAGTCTTAACAATGATTAAGGTCTACAAAGGTTTAAAGTAAGCCTGATTTTTTTTGCTACAAATTTAGTTTTCTGTTTAAATCCCCTTTTCCTGATCGAAGTTAAAAACACTCCAAACCTTAGAAATGTAACTTTTAATTTCAGATATGGTTGAAAATGTGCTATCCTTCCTGGTACTTTATATTTAATGTCTGTAACACTGGCACCAAAACAGACCCTCAGCATAATTCTGCCACCGCAGATGACAGCCGGTACAGTGGTGAATGGCATACTCTTCTTTAAATCCACTCTCAAAAATACATTTCTTTATGTCCACATAGTAAGCCTCCAATATAGTTTGGTTTTAGTTTAGGGTTATTGTCTCACTGAAATATCATCATTTTCACAAGTTTCAGCTATTGGACCAAAACTGTTACCTTGGATTAAAGGAAATTTGTTGGAATATTCAGTAAAAAAAAAATATAAAATGGAAGATGTGAGACCAGCAGTGGGATTATTCTCTTAGAGTATCTCATCAACATTAATGGAAAGGGTGCTAACCGAGAAACAACCAAACCTATCTAACATAGCTGACCATATGAACAGAACAGATGTCTTCTAAAGAAAAAAATTGCAATCTAATGAGGCAAAGACTGAACTTTTTGGACACAATGACAACAAAAACTTTAAAGAGTCACAGTAAAACCAAAATGAATCTATCAGCTGTTAAGCATGGTAATGGCAGCATGATGCTGCGGTTGTGTTTGTCTGCTGGTGGTTAAATTTGTATGACAATGAAGAAGAAGGACTACCTTCTAATTAATTTTAAATCAATTACCAGATGTTTGAAAAAGTGACCACAAAGTGACAATGATGAAAAACACATTAAAAACTCGTTATAAAGAAAGAATCAGCTTTATTATGAATGATTATATTTGCCAGCAAGGAATTTGACTTTGATTACAGAATTACTTACACAGACTAACATTATTATGCTGAAGCAACTTTAACCCTTCGTTCTCCTTAAAACCATATGGTGTATATTAAAAAAACAACAAAAAAGCTAATTTCAAAAAGCAATTGATTCCTGATTAGTCAGATATCCAGCCAAAGTTATGCCTGAGGCTTTAACAAATAAATGCAGTTTTATTTATTTTATTGTTTTTATTTTGTTCACTAAGTTCTTATTTTATGGTTTACTGAATTATCCATATAATCATGTATGTATATATATATATATATATATATATATATATATATATATATATATAAAACAAAAACTGCATTGTCAAAAGGCCCATCCACACAGATTACATCCACACATTATGTTTTGAACATAATGTGTGGATGTAATCTTCTTTTTACTAATAATAGTTTATATTTATATTTAGCTTTTTTTTTTTTACTTTAAACCACAAAACTCCCTGTTCACTTAGAGTTAATGCTTAATTCTTGCACTGCTCTCCAGACACATTTTTTGTATATGCAGGGAACCTACAGTATGGGCATAGTAAAAAAGAAAAAAAGTTGTGCTTGTATTTGTTACATATTGCAAAGGGAAACTGTATTCTGGGCTTTCTTGGATTCATTTGACTTATCTAATTTACTTTTCTGTTATCCTGGTTAGATGACAGAACAGGTTTTACTGTTCAAGTTAATCAGTCCAGGGTGGATGTTGCTGATGAATGTGCTCATGTTTCACACACAGTCCTTGGCCCTATCGCCTGCGTCATGTTTTAGATGGCATCCAAGGGGATTCTCATGCAGTGGCCTACATATTGCTTGGATAACAGTTGCACACTCATATCTGCACTATGAGATCTTCAGATGGTGTAATGGCCTAGTTTCTATAATCAAAGTTTCTTCCAAAAGGTGGCTAAAAAGTGGTGCAACTTTTGCCACCTTTATAAGTCACTTGTTTTATTTTCTCATCCTAGCCCGCACCATTCCTTATAAAGTAATAATTTGCAAATTTTTTTTGTATAAGAACAAACCATGGCTTTACATTTTTTCTTCTGTATTGCCTCATTATATAGCTTGACTGATAAAGTGCAGTTGTGGCATGTATTCCTTAAAAGATGCAAGCTGTTAAACACAGATGAGGTCAGACTGTTCCTCAACATTTAACTTACTTAACCGTAGAAAATGACACTGCAAAACAGCATCTGCTCCAAACGTTTTAAAAAACATAACCCATCTGTATTCCAAGAAATGAAGATAGCCAACATGGATGATTATTACATTCATTAAACAGCATGCTCAGGTAACCCTGACTTTAATGCAGTAACGTTTCAAAATGTAATTTCTCCTCTGAACATTAAGCCAAAGTTCATTAACTTTACAATAATGCTTAACAGACAAAATAAAGAATAGTTATCACCAAAGAGCTTTATTCTTACTTCTTGGCTGTACAAATCAGAACCCAAACACAGACATAATCAAACCTATGTTCTTGTTTCACTTCAGTACCTCACTTTTGTACCAGACAATATCGAAAATGGAAAATAAAAATATGTGTGAAAAGCCATTATTTGCTAACAGTGATACACCATGCAACAAGAAGGGGAAAGCCCATAACCTTACTGCCACCATGTGGTTAACTGAACACACACAGCTGAGAGGATTAGGCCTACCAAAAAGCAAGCATTCATTCAATGGCTTCTTTGGAACACAAAACTGAAGACAATGTTTTCAAAAGCATTTTTTCCAGTTGTATGAGCAAAAAGGATAAGGACCTTTTTTGATTTTTTTCTCAATTTCTCACTTTGCAGCGATTGTATTTTATAGACCAACACAAATAGTCTGTATTAGTAAGTGATGGAAAGTGATGCTTAATTAGGAAAAAATAAAATAAAATCAAAATACTGCATCATGTAGTCGCATGAATAATTTTGCAAGCAGTAAAGGTCGCTTTACCTTGATTTAATGTCAGAAAAAAAGATCATATTATGCTCAACTTATACGACTATTTTGTCTACTCATTTCTAAGAAATCATTTCCATTCTTTGCTCTTCTTTCTGCACAACATCTCCCAGTTGCCTGACAAGATCGGCTAGTGTGTTCAAATCACGGTTCCCTCTTTCCAGGAGCTCGTAACGAAGACTGGAGATGTCCTGTTTGATCTCTCTCAGTTCACCTTTGGGACAAGAAAGTTATTCATTTATTCATTTTTTGGCAATCTGATGACAAAAAAAAAAACACTTTCTAAGAAACTTACCTTCATTAACTTCATCATTATCCTTATCTCTCTGTGCTTTAAATATGTATCTTTTGATTAAGCAGTTCATTATTTTCTGCAATAAAAGAATAATAGTATTAAATTAATAACTAATCAGTCATTACAAACAGGTTAGTTGGGCAAAATGTAAAAATCTAAACTGAGTTGATCACGATGATTAAATAAAGAAATAAATAAATATAATTGATTAAAAAAAAATTGTGTTATGTTAAAAAAGAAACTGGCTTCATATGTGCAGCCCTTTTTTTAGTTTATTTTTTTGCACCAAGAAAATGTGTAAGAAGGTAGTTTTTTTCTTTTTCTTTCAGTAACTAATATAGTTTTGATCCAATATTGACCAATGTTCTTTTAGAGGGAAACGTCTTGTTCATAAATATACCAATCTAAGGTTCAATTGAGGGGGAAATGAGCCCATAGCATCATAGATATTGCACCATACTAAACAGAGCATAGGAAGCTCTGTGACCCATCATATTTGTTTCCTAGGTAGATCGTTGGCAACAGACTATTTAAAAGCTAATTGATGTCTGAAAACGTATTTTAAATTATTAAAATCTTTCAATGACAATTACTTGAAGAGTTATTCAGTAGTGGCACTTAGTGATTTCATTAACAACACTAATTTCCCTCAAAGGAACTCATGGGCTCAAATTAGTAGAAGAATTACCTCAACATGCTGCAATGACAGATTTTATTCTATAGATTTTTTTTTTTACACATCTTTACTTTTAAAGAGGAAATGAAACGGTCAACCAAACTAACTTCATTCACGAGATTGAGCCTTACTATTTTCAATAATTATATCACAAATGTGAAAAATATAAATTTAAAACAAAAAACAAAGTGTTTTTTCATAATTTTTGGTAAGGGTGCTGCCATGTTGCAGTACCTCAAATGGTGACATCACCGGGTTGGTACGTGATTTAACTAGCAACTGTATACATTGGATATATATGTATTGGTGATACATCAAAAGTATAAAACACTTAAAACATGTGGTTTTATGGAAGACAAAGCTGAAAGGACAGCGAAGAGTCCTTTTCTTTATCTAAATCACACTTCTTATGCTTTTGACCTCATTCAGCTTGAGACTCGAGCATGGATGTAATTTTGGGAGGGGGGGGGACTCCTGCACTTTTTTTTTACGTTTTGGTCCCCTGCTCGTTTTACTGTCCAAAGTAAATGTTATGCTACAGTACACAGATATTCGTACAGCACTTGGACCATGCAGACAACTGCAGGTCAAACTGAAGCCCACTTCCCTGAGTTTAGACCACCCACAACCTCCTGATTGGTCCTCATTCTTTTCCTGTGTGATTGGCTCTCACCGCTGTCACTTCTTAAAAGCTCACTTTACAAACATCTGATGAGTCACTGAATCGGGTCTGTGATTGGATGGTAAAACACGCTGAATTAAGTTATATTAAATAAAACTCATGTCCTCCACTTCTGAAATCAAAATTTTGTCAATGGACTCGAGCCGTAGTAAGGAGAGAAGGGGCAGTTTTGGACCCAGGTTTCTGACTATCCCTGCTACCCCACAGAACACCTGCTGTGGAAAATAGGAAAAAACAAAAGACTTTTGAGTCTGGCATGCTAGCCGTCCATCGGACAGTTGGCTAAAAGCCTGAAGCTGCTCTGACTTTTTCAAATTTTACCACCTATAAGTTGGGTTCTACTGACCGGTCAAAACACCAGTCAGCCATAACAATCACGGATCAACCCCGTGATGTCACCGTGTCAGGTACTGCAACAGGGCAGCACCCTTAGCAAAAAATTATAAAACAAAGCTTTGTTCTTTTACCTTTATATTTACCTTTATATTTTTATTTGTAATATAATTACTTATAATAGTAATAAACAAACTTGTGAATTAATGTAATTTGCTTGACCGTTTCATTTCCACTTTAAAGCCAACAAATGTGGACGTTGCTGTGAAAGTAACAATCAAAATACTAGATGCCAAAGTAATTCCATGTGTATGAGTGCAAAGCAAATGTTTATTTAACTAATGACCATTAGCAGTCTTGGAGACTGCCATGGAGACTGAAATTACTGAGCACTAAATCCAAATAAAGAAACAAGAATTGCCTTACTTGATGACGAGATGGATGAAGTGATGCGTCCTCTTTCAGTCCTCCATGTTCCCTTAACTATGGTATTAGATATCAGGAAAAAAGAAAATTCATTTTTCAACGTACTTTAAAACATCTATAAAACTGTGTGACATTTGCAAGGCCAAACCAAGGCACTATGGCCCCTTTGGTATAATTTGATTTGGGGGCCCACTTTAGCAGAAGCACATACTGAAGGCCCAGCTTCACCTGAGTTCTGAGGGCTTATTTTGCAGCTACATTAAGACAGGTCAGACACACACAACACGGATGGCAAAACATTAAGGCTGCAAATGCATACATCAAGCTGTTAAGATTCTCTTGTACATTTATCTCCACATTTAATTGTGAAAATTATCTGATCAAGGTAAGGGAATGATGGTCCTGGGCACCCCTCATATAACTCAGACTGGGTTGTTTATGTAAATTGCGACTGTAGAAATTGATACAGTCACACTTCTGCAGGAGTTTTGCAGTGTGAAGAGTCAATGATCTAGGGACACAGCCCACCACCAACAGCAGAATCCAGAAGGCACAGAAAGGCACTTTAAAATGAGGACAATACAGCATTACTCTCAGGATGTTCACTCAAACTCACCCCAAATCATGTGAAAGACCTAACGATAAAAATGTTTAAGGTTTGAATAGAAGACGTTTTAGTTGAACTGCTTCCTAGGCAAAAAAAAGGGAAGGAGCTCAGCTCAACAAGATAAGAGCTTTGAGCTTCACTTAAAAGATGTTACTGATCACTTTATCTCGTGTTCCAATTAATTCCTTATGACAAGTCAATTAATTTCATTTGGAGAGGTTTCTAAGTACTTCTAAGTTTTCTGTAAAAACTTAGAAGTACTGAGCAGAAAATTTGAACTGTAGATCTTAAAATCGGTGATGGTTGAAAAAAAAATGCTTGGAAAATCTAAAGAACAAGTATTTAGCAGCATCCCATTACAGTTTGTTTTACATCCACCCTTCCTTTGAGCTTTTATTTTAACATTGATTCTTCCTTTCACTCAGCAGGCCAGTAACAAGAAGACAGCAGGAGCACAAAGATGACAAAGCTTTTTTCTTTTTCCTGTGACAGCTTCACTTTGAAATTAACTGCCAATGCAATTCAGACAGGCCTTTTGTTTATTTTAAAACTGCTCTGAACACTAATCAATTTGTATTGTTTTTGGACCCAGTATGAAAGAGCTTTTATTTTGAAGAGTTGCTTTATATCATTTTTTGTGTATCACCGTACTATTTGGGTTTTGATACCTCTGATATTTTAAAGCACTTTGGTCAAGTGTGCTGAGTGTGCAAAAGGTTGTCTGGGCTTAGTTGCCAAAGAACTTCATCAATTGTTCAGAGTCCATTTAAAAAGTGCTCCCTCTCATCCAGAGCTGCCTCTCTATCAGATTAGATTTCCACCCTGTTTATCTAATTTAGTCCCTGTTTCCACAGCATGAATGACCCAAATAACTACGCTGTTTCCATTAAAAGGTTCCTGTTGTGCAAACACATGCTTCAGGCTTTTTGATACAACAAAGCTATTAATGCTGCCCATCAACTTGTCCAATTTAAATAAACTATTCCAAAACATTAGTCTGTAAGGTGTTTTTTTCAGATTTTTTCTTACATTTCTTATGTCTTTGCCATTCTTTGACTCTTCTCTGTTTTCTTTTGGAGGTTTAAAAAATGTCTTTATCCCGAGTAGGAGGGACAGCACAGATTTGGGGCTGGGTACGAGGTTGAAGGGCACAGGCAGAGTGCTGCCGTGTTCAAAGTAGGAGAACCACAGCTTGGCTCGGGCGAATTTCCACTCAACATCAGCATCATCCTGCAGTATCAGATAAGAAAGGGCACTGATTACTCAGAACAGCGGTGAATGTATTCCTAGAATACTCATGAAAAACAAAAGGAAGCAGAAATGAAAAACTGCTGTGTTTGATTCGTACCTCAATTTCCTGGAAGGAGCTGTTGAACATGGCTATGAGCATGTTCAGCAGAACAATCACCATGATGATGTTGTATACCCCATACAGAACATAGCCTATATTCTCTATGAATTTATGATTGATGGTTAAAACGACGGACTTTACTTCTGAAAGTCCAAAGATTGCCCAGAAAAGTGTTTTAAAACTTTCTTCAACCCTGGCGGAAGAACAAAATTATTAATAACATACAAATGATTGTTTCAGCCTTTATGCTTCTGGCACTTACGTTGTAAAGGCAACGTTGTATTTGGCTCCAAGGTAGTATGAATATAGATCAAACATTCCCACCATGAATGCCACGAAAACTGTTGTAAAAATAACCATGAACTGAAAAATGTCTTTCATCGTTCTTCCCAGAGAGATCTGCAAGGGCCCAAACCTCTCGTTGGCTGGCAGGATGTACGCGATGCGGGAAAAACTCAACACAATGGCAATTGCATAGAGACCTTCAGAAATCAGCTGTGGGTCTGAGGGAATCCAGTGAATCCTTGCTGTAAATATGTAGAGATGCATGAGACTGGGTTGAGAGATGATAAAACTTCAGCTTCGATCCACTAAAAGAACATTTATCATTAAAGGTATGAAACAGGATTTTTCTCTGAAATGAAGGGTCCAGATCATCAAAATGCCTTAATTGATGGATGGCATTCTTGCACTTATGGTTCCCCCCCAATAAAATTAAAATACTTAAACTCTGGCCGTGGTGGTGGCTACAAAACAGGAGCCAATCCACTTTGCCAACTGTCGAAAGGCTACTTGTTTGTCAATCAAACATTTTGCGTACGTGCCCCCAGTACTTTATTTACGTAGGCTTGGCTGTTTGGCTAGCGGTCCGCCATTACACAGAAGCACAAAGAAGTACTCCTACGCTTGTTTGCTGCTACTTCTGCTTTTTTTTTTAGATATTTGTTCACTCTTTTGTGTAAACTTGAGCATTAATGGCTAAAAAGAGAATCCTAACAAACCTAACAGGACAAGAAAGCCTTTTTTCGTTGTAGTGAGAGAACGGAGCTGGCTAAATGTGTGTTTAAGAGATTCTTTTCAGAGATAGCATGGGTCAAAAGGAAAATTGATATTTCAGTAAATTAGGTTGAATTCGGCAATAAATACTGTATTTTGTAATTATGAAACATGTGCAGTGATAACGCCGGCAGAGACCTATTCTACTTATAAAGGCAGCCGGTGCAGCCTGG